ATTGTGGAATCGTAATGTGAATGCAATGCAATGTAATGTAATGTAATGTAATGAAATTAATGTAATGGGAAATCGTGAACAAATTTTAATGTGAAACGTAACGTAATTGTAATGCAATCGCACCTTTAACAAGTATGCATGCGTACGTAATGTAACGTAACGTAATGTAACGTAACGTAACGTAACGTAACGTAATGTAATTGTATGAAGTGTATGTATGCTGTAATGCATGTATGTATGTATGTAATGTAATGTAATGTAATGTAATGTAATGTAATGTAATGTATGTATGTACGTATGTATGTAATGTATGTATGTATGTATGTATGTATGTATGTATGTATGTATGTATGTAATGTATGTAATGTATGTATGTATGTATGTATGTATGTATGTATGTATGTAATGCAATGCAATGCAATGCAATGTTATGTAATGTAATGTAATGTAATGTAATGTAATGTTATGTATGTATGCATGTATGTATCAATGTAATGTAATGTGATGTGATGTGATGTAATGTAAATGGGTATCTTGCCTTTGTATGTATGTATGTATGTACGTATGTATGTATGTAACGTATGTATGTATGTATATAGGTAAGGTAGGTATGCAGCATACATACATGCTTAATGCATGTATGCATGCATGTATGCCATACATGCATGCATTCAGATGATGCACATTCATACGGCTTATTTATTTCTGCAAAAACACACGGTTTTTTTCCAGCGTTTTCGCAAAAGAGGGCGTCCAAAAAATTGGTTTTTCCCAGATTCTCGGCAAAAGGATGCAAGGAAGCCCAAGCCAGCAAAAAAGCCGGCAGGGGAATCGAGCCAAGACCCCTGTTTTGCGCACAATCGCTCCCCGAAGACTACGTTTAGTGAAACGTCATCAAATTTTGCAGCATGGGACCCCCCCCCAAAAACCATATAGGATAAGATAGGACAACACAGGATACGATAGGAAAGACAGGATAAGACAGGATAATGTATAATAAGATAAGATTTGGTAGGTAAGGTAGATAAGATAGGTAGTATAGATATGATCGATATGATAGACAAGGCAGATAAGACACAACAGATAGACCAGATAGGTAATATGGACAACATAGATAGGCTTGATACGACAAGACAAAAAGGACAGACAGGAAAGATAGGACAGATATGATATCTCGATAGATAGCTATGTAGATAGATAGATAGACACATGGAAGAAGATAGGATACGATAGGAGAAGATGGGAGAAGGTAGGATAAGACAGGATTGGACAGCATACGGCAGGATATGGTAGGATAATCGCAACATCGGAACGGCGCAACGGCGCGGCAGCGCAACAGCGCAGTGGTGCAACAGCAGAACGTCGCGGCAGCGCAACGGCGGAGCGCAGCAGTGCAGCGGCGCAACAGCGCAACGGCGTAACAGCGCAATGGCGCAAATGCGCCAAGGCGCGACAGCGTAACAGCGCAATGGCGCAACAAAACGGCGCAACGGCGCAGCGGCGCAGCGGTGCAGCGGCGCAGCCGCGCAACGGCGTAACAGCGCAGCGGTGCAAACGCGCAACGGCGCAACAGCGCAGCGGCGCAACGGCGCAGCGGCGCAACGGCGCAGCGGCGCAACGGCGCAGCGGCGCAACGGCGCAGCGGTGCAGCGGCGCAAGGGCGCAGCGGCGCAAGGGCGCAGCGGCGCAACGGCGCAGCAGCGCGACGGCGCAAGAGCGCAACCGCGAACGGCGCAGCGGCGCGACGGCGCAGCGGCTCAGCGGCGCAACGGCGCAGCGGTGCAGCGACGCAACGGCGCAACAGCGGAACGGCGCAGCAGCTCAACGGCGCAGCGGCGCACGTCAACGGAGGCGGCTTCAGCGGCGCAACAGCGCAGCGGTGCAGCAGAAAAGCAGCGCAGCAGCGCAACAGCAGAGCGGCGCAAAGTCATCAGCGCAGCAGCGAGCAGCGCAGCAGCGCAACAGCGCAAAGCAGTTTAGCGACACAGATCGCCAACACGCTCCGTTTTTCTGTTCTATGCAGCTTTATGCCAATTGGGCCAGCTTCCATGCTTGTCTCAACTGCTTCGTAGCAGCTTCAGCAGTTTCATCTTCAGCCTTTGCAGGACGCGTTTGTCGCCTCAACAGATTGTCTCTTGCGACAAGAAGAGTGCGGGCCTCAGGATATTGCGGCCAAACTGTTGGGTATGAGATTCAATCCTTTGTGACCTCCCTCATGGACAGACAGGAGCACTGGTGCATTGAATTCGCTTTCTGCATTGTAACTCCAGCAGAGGCTTACCCTATTTTGGTGTTTGCACCCTGTTCAGCTGAGGCCAGGGCTGCAACGGTGGTGGCATCGACTCGGTGTGGAGCTACATCGAGCGAAGGGGGTTGTTCCCAGAGTGCCGAGGCAGCATCGGATGACGTTTAGGCTGTATTGGTTGTCGAATACGGTGTGTTTTGGCAGATTGATCCTAGATTTCCAGAGTCTGCCTTTGTGGTGCATTGGTTTATGCCTCGGAAGTTGTGGCTTCCGAGCAAGCTTGCAGCAACACGAATTGCTGCGAAGTTGAGCAGGCAGCTTGAAAAAGCCCCTGACAGAATTTCTTTGGTTTGCTGTGCCATTGGCCGAGGTCTTGCGTGCCTTTCGCTGGCGCCACGAAGGCAGAATGCAAGTCGGACTGCGATCCGGAGAAGAAGCTGAAGGCAATGGACCACTGCATCCTCGGCGGGGAGAAAAAGATCAAGCTCCTTGGCATTTGCCAGAACTAGTTGACCTCGGCGAATCCAAAGACCTCAAAGCTGATATCTTTGCCACTGCTCCAGTCCTGAACGGATTGCCGCAAGGATGGGGGGGGTTTTGGGCAGTAGACGCGCAGTGCCCAGGCGAGAAGTCTACAACAGAGGCGCGTCATTTTGGCAAACATTCGGCGTTTCTGCACGTACATAATAGTAATCGCGCGGTCTTGTTTCTGAGGGCCGAAGGGGTGATTGTCGGGTTGAAAGTGGCAATTCACAGCTTGGCATTATTCAGACAGAACCAGCAGTGTTTAAACGAGTTTGGCACGTGCAACATTGCCCAAGCTTGTGGCTGAACCCTCCACTCTGTGGTCCGCCGTTTGTGGTTGAACCCTCAATTGTAGGGGACAGCAACCACCCGCAGTGGCAGGCCCGGTGGTGGCCCCTGTGCTGCTGAAGGATGACTTCCTGGTGTACAAGGACGAATGTACCAGACAGGTTGAGCTCGGGTTAAGCTGTTTTGGGGACAGTAGAAGAACGGGTTTTAACTGAAGACAGTTGAGATGTTCCCCCTCCTGTGTCTGTGTAAATAAACGTATGAATGTTTGCTAATTTATCGATAAAACTCTATCGAAGGGCGTGCATGTTCTTCACACCTCCACACGCGGAAAACTCCGCTGTTGCCTCAGGGCGGAGTTTACACTCCCACAGACTACGCCAACCAGCAGTATGGTCCCAATGGCGAGCCCCTGGTTCACGCCGTGACCATCATTGGCTGGGGACGATCAGAGGGCACGCCTTATTGGCTTGCCCGCGCCCTAGCTTTCGTCCAAAAGCTTCAAGGATGGTCAGCATGTGGCTGTGGCTCAAAATCAAGCAGCTTTGGTGGCGCAGGTTGTCTACTTGTCCATTTACCAGAGGTCCATTTTGGAGCCAGGCTCGAGCATCATGCTAGCAGATTTTGGAAGCTGAGGTCAAGAACTCCTGGGGCAAGGATTGGGGGGAAGACGGCTACGCTCGCATCACCATGGGTACTGGCGTCCTTCGGGAGGATTCTTGGCTTAAGACTTAGCCATGCGGAGTCTGACTCGACCCTTGGTGAGCTCATGAAGGCCAATGCCGTCGGTCAGCGGGCCCATCTCATGAGAAAGGTGACTTCGTTGCTGCCTTTGAAAGCAAGTGACTCGGTGGTCTAATGAACAAAAGATGATGTTTGTTTCTGAAACCACAGCTCCTTTGGCTCAACTTGGAGATCGGTTCGCCGCCCTAAGTTGCCAAACCGTCCATGTTGCCCCTACGAGCCGTGTTTCGTTTACGGCCGCTGGCAGGGGTGGCGCTTGCCGCTTCGATGCAGCCACGTGAGACTCCAGATCCTGTGGGCCGCAAGCCGAAATTGCCAGCACTTTCGATCAGGCTCGCGGCATGTGAGCCGCAGAGGCGCCCCAACCAAGGTCCGGCCATTGATTTCATTGACTCGAAGTTTGACGGGGTAATCCAGTTTGTGGACCAATTGCCGCAAAGCAAGGACGCTCAGACTATTCGCTCAGCTTTGCAGACGGCAAGGGAAGACTTCCGCCAGCCGACTATGATCATGTTGGTAGGTGCCTTCAGTGCTGGAAAGTCCACGCTGATCAACAGCCTTTTGAAGAAAGATGTTTGTGCGACAGGGATCACGCCAACCACAAGCAAGCTTCACTTCCACCAATGGGAGGGGCGGCTTCTTGTGGACTCAGCGGGTCTTGATGCTATGAATGAGCCAGAACACAGGCAACAGGCTTTGGAAGCTGCGCGCCGCTCGAATGTGGCGGTTGTGGTTCTCAATGCACGTCAACCTCTTCGAGAAAGCGAAGGGGACATTTTGCGGGAGCTGATTAAGGCAAACTCCGCGGTCGTGGTGGCCATCAACTATTGGAATCATGTTGAGAAGGAAAAGGATCGCAAGGAATGCCTGAAGTTTGTGGAAGAGAAACTTGAGGAATGGATGCCTGACAAACGACCTCTTCTCATTCCCATGAATGCACAGGATAGCGGTGGCGAGGGGGTGAAGAAGCTGCGCCAGGAGTTGCAATCCGCCGACAGGCAGGGAGGTTTCCAGAAAGTTGCCTCAGCCAAGGCCGCCATGTTGCAGGGTGCAAAGGAGATGAGACGGTTGCTCCAAGATTTCCGCGGAGGTTTGGAGAAACAGAAGAGTGACAAGGACGAGACCTTGCACGGCCAACAGAAAACTGCTGAAGCTGAAGACCAGCATGTGAAGCAGCTAGAGACTATGAATAACCTTGGTGGTAGCCTTTGGGAGTCAGCCAAATCAGGAGCAGCCACTGGTGCAATGGTGGATGTATTCACTGGAGGAATGTTGCTTGGTATCCCCACCGTTCTTGGTGCCATTGGTGGGATGATCGATGGTGGATTTGGTCCATCGGCAGAAGCTCGCAAGGAGCACAGCGAAGCCATCTCCAATGCCAAGCTGGAGCGTGCCCGTATCAAGACAGAAATCACTTCTTTGCAGAAGGACATACAGGGTCTAAATCGGAGAATGCGTGAAGTTGAATATTATATGAGCTTCTTGGAGTGTTTCATGAATGAGATCGAGCAAATTCGATAATTTGCTGCCAGCTTCGGTGCAAAGTCTTGGCCAAGCATCTTCATCGGAATCTTCTTCAGTGAGCCATTCGATGTTTTGTTTGAAATAGCAACCTCCGGGCACGACACCTCAAGTTGGGGACATGCATGACAGTGCCTGGGCGGCTTCAAAAAGGGGGCCAGCTCTGCAGGAAAGGTCTATTTGATCTCGAGCATCGCATGCTGAAAGGCTTTTCGTACTCGTGTTGCTCCAAGGAGTCTATCATCGTGGGGTATGCCGCCACACCAGAGGCGCTTGAAGCTGCCGCCAAGAAAAAGGAGGCCAGGTCACGCCTGCCATCCATTTTTCCGGATGCCTTTGCAGAAGAGGGAGTGGTCAGGGCCGTTCAACATGTTCAAGTCTAGGAGGGGGATGACCATGTAACGATTTTGGCTCTCCTTTCTTGCCTCTGATCGGAATTTCCCAGGCAGAGGAGCAGCGGAAAGAAGAACTGAAGAAGGAGCGTGCGGAGCGTCGAAGGCTCAGCCAGGGACCGCCACCGGTAATTGTGCCAAAGATTGTTCCGACCTTTAGCACTCGTTGTGTAGCTCAAGCAGGACGAATTTGAGGACACCGCAGTGATCTCGCATCGTGCCGTGGGTTTTCCACTTTGCACAGAGAATGGACTCGCTCTGCGAAGCCGGGCAGACGCAGATGCTTGCCACGAACTTGAACATGTTCACCTTGGCCACGGGCAACAATGTCCTGGCCAGTTTCGTTGGTACTTCCAAAGACATTGAGAACCCTGCGCAGCGGGCAGAGACGTCTGGTGAGCCACCACGCCTGAGGCGATGCCCGCATCCGCGAGCGCGAGGCGCAGCGCGCCGCGGAAGCTGCGGAAAGAGCCAGCCAGGACAGGGTGGATCAGCTAGCCACAGCATTCAATAAGATCTGTGCCTTCAGCTGTTTGTTGGTTCTGTGGATTCGTGGGATGTGTGTATATAATATATATATATATATATATATATTCATGTGTGTGTGTGTGTGCGCCGCGTGCGTTCTTGTGCGGTGCACACGAACGCACTCTTGAAAAGTTAACACCAGGCTCACACCACTCCACAGAAATCAAGAGCCGGCCGACTGCGGCGTTATCATGACGCTCTATCCACAATGTTGGATGCAATGTTGTGCTGCCATGCGGTCTAGCTGTTCGCATTCGTGGTTATTGAATGAGTGGTGGTCAGAACGAACGGCAGGCTCCATGACAAGTCTCGAGGGTAATTGACTTCCGTGCGCTTTGCGCTAAGAGAGACTTCAAAACACCAGTCTAGGTTAGCGTGTCGTCGTGAGTCATGAGTGGTACTCCCAAAGGTGATGGTTGCCTCTCAAAGAGGCAGGACCGATGCGGTTTGTTATTTGTGTTGCCGGCAAACCAAGAGAGCGGGTGGGAGGAACAGTCTGGCGCAATTCTACGCTTTCGTTGGGGCAAGCGGAACCGATGCGACACGGCACGGGTGTTTGATTTCCGGGTGCTCACCCAGGAGGAGGACACGGAGGATCTGGACTTCGAGGAGCGAACCATGAGCATTGCTGATGTGTTGTTCCAAAGCCGTGAAGTGTCCTCTGCTTGGCAATCAAGGCCTTCCAGGCTTACACGGGGAGGTACTGGGATGAAACAGATTGGATGACGCAGCCAATGCGTTTTGTGGGGAAGTTATAACTTGGAGATGCACATGCATAGTTTCATTCGCGGAGTGGCAGAGCTGAGCATGCTTCTGGGGACCAGTGAGGACGACGAGGAGGTGGATGTGGACTCCCAGGAGGCGGAGGGCGATGATCCATAGGCCGCGAGCTCAGTGGTACTTCAAGGCAGGAGATCCAGAGATCCGTGGCGTTGATTCATGGTATGGACATGTGACGAGAATAAGAATCAGGGTGGAAGGTGGTTCAGGGGTTGGGCATCTGCAAGCCCTCGCTCCGAGGCAGAGCCCTCTGTTCCGAGCTGCCCAGGGGGTCATTTCCTCGGAGGAAGGCCTCGAATAGGTAGAAATCGACAGCCCCGGCCAAAGTCTGAGATGCGTGTTTTTCGAAGGAAGACTTGGCCGCCTCGCCGGGTTCGCTTCAATCTTTGCCGGGGCCCGGTCGCAGGATAACTTATCGCGTTCCCGACAGAGCACAATGATTTGCTCACAACAGACTGCCTCGCTTCATGGTGGGCGCTTGAAAAAAAGAGAGGCCATTGCTGGATTGTGCAGCGAGCGAGCAGATGCGCTTCCGCAGTTTGGCTCCAATTGATAGACAGTCAGGATTTGTGCGCAGACGGGTTCCCTCGCCTTTTGGTTGTGCAGCCAAAGGTTTTGACCCGCTCCAGGTGGTTTGGACAGGTACTTTTTCAGGTTTTGCTCTCGTTGGGCGCATACAATATCAGTCACCACCACCACCCACCACCACCTCCCGCCACCACCACCACCACCCCCGCCGCCACCACCACCACCACCACCCCCGCCACCACCACCACCACCACCACCACCACCACCACCACCACCACCACCACCACCACCACCACCACCACCACCACCACCACCACCACCACCACCACCACCACCACCACCACCACCACCACCACCACCACCACCACCACCACCGGTACCTCCGCCACCACCACCACCACCACCACCGCCACCACCGGTACCACCGCTACCACCCCTACCACCGCCACCACCGCCACCACCGGCACCACCACCGCCGGATAGCGATATGCGCATTAATATATTTCCACTCCAGACACAACGCTGGCATGCAACACTCATGTATCACAGGGATTGTTTGTCTACTTCCCGATGTCCGGTCCCTCGAACCGAGTCACATGAGCATTCTCGCTGCGGTTTGCATGGCACAATGCGAGCGCTTTTGCGCCGGCATCGACGCTGGGACATCAAAGGAACGTGCCGCGGAAGAGGCCATGCCCGAGGGGGCTGCGTATTCTCCAGGACATGTGCCTTTGAGTTTCGTGTTTGAGATGCACTTTCGTGCACCCAGCGCCTGTGCTGTGTCAGGGCGGCAGTGGAAAAATGGCTCTTTTCTGGCCTGAGCGGCTTGCGTGTTGCCCGTTGATGCAGCTGGCAGACTGGTGCCATTTGAGCCACAGTCAAAACCCGGGTAGATGAATGATAGTACAAGCCGCCTTTACAGATCTCTTTTCTCCCGGACAAAAGCAACTGCCGGTTCTTTCCTTTGATCGAGGACTGTCATTATTCCCATCTGTGAGTTCTGGTTGGGTGGCTGGGGTGGGCTGTGGTTGGCTTGGCTTGGCGTAAGCATGACAGTAGACAAGTCAGGTTTGGGATTGGTTTTGGAGTAGGTTGGGGTTTGGCTTAGTTTGAGGGTAGGTTGAGGCCGGGCTTGGTTTTCGGGGTGGGTTTGGGTGTGTTCGGGTGCTTTGAGAGGCTGCTGGATTTCCAAGCTGGCCAAAGGGTTGGTTCAGGGTTGGTTCAGGATTGGTTCAGGATTGGTTTATGAACTGGAGTGGATTTTGGCGTGGGTGTGGGGTGTTTGAAGGGGATGGTGGTTGAAGGGGATGGTGGTTGAAAACAGCTTCAGGTGAGTTTCAGGCCGTGGTTTAGGCTTGGTGGCTTTGAGGGTTGGTGCATGATGGGTTGGGGGGAGGCTTAGTGTTGGTTTCTTGATATTTCAGGGTTAGGTTGAGAGCAGGTTGGCAGGGGTTAGGGTGGCATGAATGGTTATTCCAATTGTCATGAAGCTCAAATATTCCAAGTTACCTGCTTGGGGGAACGAAAGAGGGGTTGTCGGAGAAGCACAGAGTTCATGAAGCCACAAAGCCAAAACTCAGAGGCCGAACCAAGTGCAGCCCGTCGCAGGTGCCTCCGCGCTGGTCTCCACCGAGCGCTGGCTGCCCGTGAACACCACCTCGCCTCCGCCTAGCGCAAGCCCCCGGAAGGGATGGGAGGACGTCAGCTTCGCACGCTCGCTCGGTTTGGTTTGGTAAGAATAGGCCAGGGACCGGGAACACCGAAGGCACGCCAGATGAATGAACCCGTTGTGTCATCTTGGATTTGCAACGTGCGGCGTGCAAGCTTGGGGACGGGCTGATGGGCACCAAGTGGTGCGCAGAAGCTGGGTCAACGCGGTAAAGCAGGACGGGCAGCGGCTCAAGGGCCTCTCCGGAGATCCGGTGGACGTGCAAGGCAGGGGTGGTGGACATGAATCCAGCGTACCCATATGAACGATCTTGACCGCAAATCATAATCTTTCTTTTTCACCCTGAGGCAGGTCAAGCACACCACAGCCTGCTTCGTGACAAGCAAATGTTTTCTTGGTACTGAGCTTGGAGATGAAATGCCTAGAAATGCAATGTGCTTGCATTTTTTTGCCCAGCTGCCTCATAGAAGTGACCGCGCAAGATTGTCTCCAAAGATGGCTCATGTGTGGTCGTGATTCTTGCCCTTGACGCTTTGGAAGACCTTGGTCCATGCACCAACGCGTCCATCCCTGCGTATGGATGCGCCCGAGCGCCCGGCTCTCGTGAGGCTGCAGTGCGCTGGTGCGGACGCTGCGGAAGGCGCTGAAGGCGAACTTCATGAGCAACGGCCGCCCGGCGCCGACCTCGTTCTGGCGCAAGGCCAGCCGGACGGCTGGCCGGACGGCTGGCCGGACGGGCCGGACTGGAGATGCGGGATGGGCTATGGAAGAACGCATAGCTCAGATGATGCTGGCTGAACCCAGATTGTCCGGCAATGCTGTCTTGGGTATATCTAGCTATCATTTTCTAAATGGTGCAGCATAAGTTTGACTAAGATCAGTGCAAGACTTGCCAGCCATTTGCTTTGATTTCACATGTGCTCCGTGCATCCCAGCTTCTCAGCGAGCCGCACCGAGCGACAGGCGGCTTACCGTGGGGGGCAGCTGGCGAACCTTCTGGCGCCCGAGGCGCGGTTGACGCTTTGTCACTTCCCGTCTTTTGGGGAAGGGACATGGTCAAGCTTACACTTTTGTGATACCTGACCTGATGTTTATTTGCCTCCCAACTCTCTTTTGCCTCTTCCTTCTCGATCTTTTTGTCTTTCCGTCTTTCTGCTCTCTCTCTGTTTCTGTCTCTGCCTCTGTCTCTTTCTTTGTCTCTTGGTGCAGCTGGCCGAGATCTTTGCACCGAGTCCAAAGGGGTCAGGGGCTTGGGGATTCGACACCGATACTCCGCTCTCTTGCCAGGAGATCTGCGAGGCAGATCCGCGCACAGAGGGCGTCCAGGGAGAGGGTCAAAGCTCGAGTTTATTAGTTTGTTATGTACAAAGATTTAGGATGTTGGATCGTCCTGGTATGCCGTACAGAGTGGCCTGGATTCCGCTTTGCTTGGTAGATCTTTACCTTCCAAACATGTGCAATCTCACAATTGGCACCCTTCCGTCAACTCCAAGCAGGCCAAATGAAGCAGCCTCTTGAATGAGCCATTGAATGAAGTCTGAGCGCGCATCAGACGGAGTAAATAAAGTCACACTTCCATCAACTACCACAAAGCCCGTTTTCAGGCTGAGGCCATCCTGACATAATTGTACTTCTTGGCATTTAATTCTCGCCCAAAGGCACGTGGACCCTGCCCAATCAATCGAATGAATGGGACTTGGCAGATCACAGTCATTTCAATCAGCCCAGGTGAATGATTGCAAGCATCGTTTGGCATGATACTCTTGAGGGGGACGTGCCTCCTTTCTTGAAGAGTTTGCAGTAGAAGACGCAATCTTTTTTGCACTGGTTCGTATCGCTGCATACTTGATGCTCGAGTGCGGCTTAAACGTTTTGCCCATAGTGTCTCGGCCCTCGCTTTGCAAGAGGTTCTGCAGCCGACAAACAGAAGGAGTCTGCTGGTATTAAGAGCAACTGTGATGACGAGCGATCCCCGTTCCTGGACTCATGACCACAGAGAGTTTGACCATGACACATCAAACGAGAGAGGTGTTGCTGAGGCATTGAGAGGTTGGGGTCCACAAGCCGATTTCGGTGCTTAGTGTAGGTGCTCGGGGCTCTGGCCGACGCAAAGCTGCGCTGGAGGCAAGACCCCAAGGCGACGGAAGGCGCATCGGCTGCGCGAAAGAAGGCAAAACACGGGCGAGGTTGAGACGTTGAGCGTTTGGGCGCTGGGCAGTTCAAGACATGTTTTGAACGCAATTGACTCATGATGAGGCCTCCCCCTGTCAAACATGCGAACCTTGACAGAGCATTGGAACCTTGGATGCCCCATGCACATCGCAACCCAGCCACACTGTAGATGCTGAAACGTTTGTGCCAGACAACTTGACATGGTTCAGACATTGCCGATGACGACTTGGACCATGCTCTTCCGGTTATTTTGTTTGCACAAAGGGAATGAGAACAGCTCTGGCGAACGCAAATGGATGGCTTTGGTGGAGCGGTCAGGCCTTCAGCTCTTTGCGCATTTCGCGTCGGAAGAGATCGGGTCCTTCACGCCGATCCAGATGGGCGAAATCCTGGGATCCTTTGCAAGGCTGGACTTCCTGCATGAGGACGCTGCAGAGCTTGACCGGCACCGGCACTCATATGACCGATTTGCCTCGTAAGGCCCCCTGGAAGTCCATGTTTCCTTTAAAAGTGGCGCTCTTGCAGCTTCCCTTTGCCAGTTTTTCTTCCTGCTGGAGGCTTCCGGGGTTCCTCTCTCTCCCTTCCGTGCCAGAGGACCTGCTGCAGGCGGTGGCGCGCACCGTGGAGGTCACGGTGGCCTCGGATAGCGGGCGCTTCAGCAACGAGGCGGCGGTGAGTTTGCTGCCCGGGGCCCAGAGGGCCGAGGGGGCGGAGAGGGGGAGGTGTGGGGCTGGAGGTTTGGAGGGGTTGGAACAGGTCTGGAGGTCGGAAGGGGAGATATCTGGAGGAGCCAAAAGAAGGGCCGGTTTGGTTTTGGGGTAGGCTTGGTGGTTTGGTTTCATGATGTTTGAGAATGAGATTTGAGGAGGCTCTGAAATTCAGCAGAAATTGTACTGGTGGGTCGGCTGAGTGCATGTTGATTTTGCTTGTGTAGCAAGTTTTCTTTCTTACTATATCCCCATTTAGTTCTTGTTGGGAGGGTGGCTTACCATGAATCATCAAGCCTTGATGCACCCGAACGCCTTAGGTCCGCATACCACGCACAAGCCGTGGCCAACCAGCCCATGCTCCGGGCTCTGTCGCGGCTCTTCATGCGGCGCATCGTCCGGGAGCCCCTGACCCCGGCGCAGATCGCCAAGGTGGCCATCGCCTTCTCAGACCTCCGCGCTCCGCGGCAGAGCTGCGAGTCGCGAGTCGCGAGCTTCGGTTGAGTCGCCTTGGGGTGGACGTTTTCATTAGTCGACTGGTGAGTCGACTGGAGGGCAGAGGCGTGTCACAGTTGTGGGTTGACATATTTATCAGAGAGCGGCCATTGCTCATGCTGGAACACCGAACATCGGGTGCTATCATACTTTTCCAGTGTGATTGTAAAGTTGGACTCGAATGTGATTCACAGTCACAATCAATGTGCCCAATGCTTGCAGGCGCGGGACGTGGGCCTCTTCAACGCCACGACGCTGGGACTGTGCAGGCTGGTGGCCGGTGCTTGCGCATCCGATGCCGAATTGAACGAGTTTTGGGATGGGACGGATTTGTTGGAAGCTCAACTCTGAGACATGGGAACCGACGGAGTGTATCCCCAAACAAGCGATATGTGCAATCAGATGCAGTTTGCCCTTTTGTCGACAACTCAGACCATGAGCTCCGTTTGCGGTCAAAGATGCGCAACAACACCAGTGGCTTGCTTTGAGATTGTGAGATTGTGGTCGTCACAACTGCTTCGTGGAGTTGCGTGCCGAAAGACTCCGATAGATCGCCGGTAAGGACCAGACCCATCAAGAAACTGTTCAGATGGGATTCTTTCCAAGACCCAACACCCAGAAGAGTGGTCCACCATCCGACTGACTCAGCCTGAGACGTTTTAGCCGCGTTTTGGTCCAGGCCGAAGGCCGTGGAGGCGCTCTCCTGGCCGGAGCTGGCTGACGTGGCGGTGGCCTACGCCTCGCTGCGGCTCCACTCGGAGTCCCTCTTTGGCCCGGGCCTTGGATCGCGGGGTTCAGAGCGCTGATGTTCGCGGGGTTCAGGACCCGTCAGGTTGCAATGGCCAGAGTGAGCTGGTGAACTGGAGATGCAAGCAGGGAATGGGCATGCATTTGCAGTTGTTTGTTTGCAAGCCACCCTTCTTTGTGCCTTTGGCTGAGGTAGGTCGCCTGGGCAGCAGTTGAGATGGCGGGCTCCGGTGCACAGTGAGGGTGGTTTTGCGGTCAAAACGGGGGCACTTGTCTCATGCAACAAGGGCATAATGATTGTCTGATGATTTGCTGCCGGGTCCAGATTGGGGCCAGCTTTTTTGCTGCAGGTTGCATGCTCTGCTGGATGATCAGGTATGTTTTGTCCCCACGAGACATAGTCTTGTGAGCCCCAAGGATGCGCCAGCGCTTGTGCGAGAGCTCGACGCTGTACAGCGAGCTGCAGCTCGGCCGGCAGAAGCCTTTGGAAGCATGTATGTTAATTCAGCGGCTGGTAACTAGCATGCGATTCATAACAATTTTCTGATGGAGTTTGAGACGTGAGATGCGCTGGTTGCCGTGAACAGATGTGTCTAGACGTTGAGAAGCAGGGGGTCATGTCACACGCCATTTGGGGTTGCGTCGAAAATTCGGTTTCCATTCTGAACGCCATGTGAAGGCTCCGCCAATTTCATGTTCCTTTGTAGACGGTTGCCGTGAGGCCTCCCTTCGAGTTGGGTGCGCCGGGCAAGTCCAGCGTGCGCCCTAGCGCTGAGGAGGTGTGGTGCAGCCTGGAAACGCAGGACTTGGGAGCCGGTGCGTGTTGTCATTGGCGGAGAGTGGCAGTCAAGAAACGGCTGGTTGCAGTATTGGTGCTAATGTTGGACCTGCTTGTGCAAGATGCCCGAATTCAGGATCCCGCGTCTGTTGCAGGGGTTTGCACCGATTCAAAAAAGCAACAAATACAATATGCCTTTTACTTAAAAAGGTGATTTATCTAAGTCCTTCCCAGCTCAGAGGCTAAAGTGCTGAGACCTGGGGAATTGAAAAACAAGCCCAACCAGTCGCACAAAGGGGATCGACACATCAAAGAATGCCCAACATTCCTCGTGATGGTCAGGGGCTTGGCTGGTCTCGATGGCTTCTGGACTCATGTCCCTGACAGGAGCCGCCGTTTCCGCACCTTGGCGCGAGATGTGTGTTGTGCTGCCTTTTTGCAGAAGTCGCGCATTTCGTTTCTTGATTCTTGACGCTGGCAGGAATGTGCTTTGATTTCGTTGGCCCGTGCTGGTTTTCACAGATCTTTCTCGAGGCCAATGCATTTGCCGCCCAAAGTGGTGGCGCGGTTCTTGGAGGCTCAGCTGCACCTGGGCCAGGTGACCCTGCAGGAGGCCAGGTGGATCCATACGGGGAAGCGTGGTACGTCGGAAGCAGCTGCTGCAACGAAGGGCCTTAGTTGTGACCCCCCCCCCCCCCGCGTCCAGCCAGCAAAGTGGAAGATGAGGTTGGATATGTAACAAGAAAGATTGAAAGAACCCAAGCAGTTTTGGGTCTCGGGCCTTCAAGTTTGTTTCTTCTCCGGTGTGGAGGTCGAGCCCTTGATGCCTCACCTGGCGCATGCTGCCGGAGGTCCTGGGGGCCGCCCCAGCACACAACTCGCGCACCTCCTCATCCTTTTCCTGGGAAGGCGAGGGGGACAGCCAAACGGCACCAAAGCCAAGATCAGAGGGTTTCTTGAATTGGGAGCATCATAATGTGTTTGGACACCTTTGAACAAGGTGGACCCAACCCCTCGAAAAACAGAGGCTGGTTGACTGTAGTGTTTTTCCCACCTAGTGACTCCACTTTCGCTTTTTGCGAGTTGTGGACACACGGAGCATCTCATGCCCAACTCTATGCCCGCAGGGGTGGCCATGCTTTTCCCTGGCTCTGGCGCCGGGCCGTGGCTGGTGCCTTCCTTGAGGTGAAGGGGCTGTCGGGAGTCGGGAGCGCATGTGACAAGTTTCAGCCCCCAGTCAGTGAAAGGCTGTGTGCTTGGGATGCCCGGGAAAGACTGAACAGAGACTCTCGTTTTGAAGGCTTGCTTCGGCGCCGTGTTGATGACTTCAGGCAAAGTGTGTGGCTGCATGCGTGGAATGTGACCCGCCTGGCCAGGCAGATGCCCGAACCAAGCTGGACGACAGCGCTGGAATCAAACGATTGATGCCCTCCAGTGCGTTGACACCGCTGGCAGAATCCAAGCTTCAATGTGCGGCTTTGTCCATGTTGAAGCATCATCCGTGTGCCTGAGGCCCCCCTCCCCCGCCTTCCCCCCCCACCAACCCCAGGATTGCTTCGCGCAGCACCTGGAGCTTCTGCGGCCCCTGGCCCTCGCGTCCTCGGCCTCGGGCTCCATGCTGCTGTCCGGGCACCTCCGGGTGCTGTCCGGGGGCCTGGCGCGGCTCTGGGCGCTGCTGGGGCGGAGGAGCGGCACTCTGCCGGACTCGGAGCTGCAAGAGGCTCGGAGCCGACGGGGAGCCAAGGGCTTGAGTGAGGGAAGAGCAAGGCCCGTCTTTGTTGAGGGCCACATTTTTGTTTGGGCCGCAGGCCGTTTCTTTTGGCTTGTTTCTTTAAGTCTCCATGGCATCCAGTCATTTGCACAGTTACTGCGCGCTTCACATTCTCAATGACCTTGGCCACCTCCGAACGAGCCAACAATGACCAGGTGGCCTGTGCTGTCCCGCGGCTCTTCGAGGCTCAAGACTTCCTGGAGGCAGGGCTTGGCTAGGGAAAGCTGCTTGGACAAGAAAGAGTGCGACGAAAAGCACATTCACAGTGGTGTTCTCCAAAGTCTGCGGTTCAACGTGAGAGGGAAGCCGCCAACTCACTTTGCAACTCCTCGTGTTGATATATTGACCTCCTGGCCCGACCTGAACCACACTGCCCGCTAATTTTGAAGGAGCTTCGGATTGTGCGTTGTCTACTGGGGTTCATTGTTAGTGCGTTTTGTGCTAGAGTATCTTTACTTGGCGAAGAAGGATATACACACACACACACATGTTTCGCTGATTGCATCCTTGTTTCTCAGCTTGAACAGTCACCCAACAGCAAACAGGGATTCGTCGAGCATCTACAGCAAATTATACGGTGGCAACTTGTCTCCAGTGAGACAGAAGGGATGGCTTTTCTTCACTTGGCAAAGGACACATATGCAAGCAACATATTTGCTTGAATGTTGACCTATTCACATGTCAACCTTGGAGACTTAGTGACTTAGTGGGGATTTGATCGCCCCTGAAAGGATGCGACTGCCTCATCTTTTGTTTTGATGGGATCCCTTTGATCATTGTATTTTGTATCTTTTGCTTTCACATTTACTTGGAACTAAGCGGCATGGCATTCAATAGATTCTGCACCCGCATGTTTGTTGATTTTGCCGATGCTCATTTCCTATCCTCACAGGATATAAACTTGCCATCCATTCAACCTTTCCCTTGAATTTTTGTAGCTGGATTTGGAACTTGGGCCACTCAAGAACAAATGCTTCTTACAGGTCAGCCAACAAGCAAGCCGGGATAATTTGAGCACAGATCCTTTCTTAGCGAAATGCGATAGCCGACGACAAAACGTCAACAGCATGTTTTTTGCCACAACAAGGCTTTCCAGCGTCGTCAGGACTCGGGCCCCCTATCCCGCTCGGCGCTGCAATGTGCTCGCGCTCTGAGCGGCGAGCTGCAGCGGCGGGACATGAGTCTGAGCGCCGAGCTGCGGCAGTTGCTGACGGGCAACGGCGTCCAACCTGCTCAATTGCTGGAAGATGTGAAGGCTCTTAGCATCGATTCAATCGTCACACACTAAAACACAGTGAAGTATAACAAGCAAATTAGAGTCTGAATAGTTATCATCCTTCATTGTGAATATCTGTCAATGTCTGTCTATCTCTGCCTATCCTGCCCATCTCTGTTTGTCCCTGTCTGTTTCTTTCTGTTGGTGTTTGTGTGTCTCTGTTTCTGTCTGTTTGTGTCTGTCTGTCTGTGTCTGTCTGTGTGTGCCTGTCTGTCTGTCTGTCTGTCTGTCTGTCTGTCTGTCTGTCTGTCTGTCTGTCTGTCTGTCTGTCTGTCTGTCTGTCTGTCTGTCTGTCTGTCTGTCTGTCTGTCTGTCTGTCTGTCTGTCTGTCTGTCTGTCTGTGACTGTCTGACTGACTGACTGACTGACTGACTGTCTGTCTGTCTGTCTGTCTGTCTGTCTGTCTGTCTGTCTGTCTGTCTGTCTGTCTGTCTGTCTGTCTGTCTGTCTGTCTGTCTGTCTGTCTGTCTGTCTGTCTGTCTGTCTGTCTGTCTGTCTGTCTGTCTGTCTGTCTGTCTGTCTGTCTGTCTGTCTGTCTGTCTGTCTGTCTGTCTGTCTGTCTGTCTGTCTGTCTGTCTGTCTGTCTGTCTGTCTGTCTGTCTGTCTGTCTGTCTGTCTGTCTGTCTGTCTGTCTGTCTGTCTGTCTGTCTGTCTGTCTGTCTGTCTGTCTGTCTGTCTGTCTGTCTGTCTGTCTGTCTATCTGTGTCCATGTTGTCATTGTTTTTGTTTGTTTGTGGCTGCTTGTGAATTCGCATTTCTCCGTATTTTGCCCAAACAAGAAAAAAATGGACCCATAGATTATTAACCTCAAAAAATCCATTCCTATACATAATTATTACAACATATACGAAAACACCATTAACCAAAAATATCCTAGATACAAATAAAGCCAAACTAATTTTATTTAAAATATTAAAAATAACTTATATCACCAAATTCTCGCGAAACGAATATAATATATTAATTAAAATAATAATGGAATATCTAAATAAATTATTTTTTTATTTTTATGAAATATTATTAAAAATATATTTATTCGATTTCGATAATTTAAAAAAATTATACGCTCGAATTTTTTATATTAGGCTAAAATCGATTAATTTTACTATGTTATTATTAATCTAAATATTATTACTTAAATATTTTTTTTTAAGGCTAAACTATAAATAATTTTGAAAACAAAAAAAACAATTTTAGTTTCTTAACCAAAACAAACCTATATAATATATGTAAAAACCAAATTAAAACACGATTTAAATTATTTTCGAATATTATATATTAATAATATATATTAATTTTTTAATACTAAATTATTCAATTGAAAAAAAAAAAAACGATTTAATTATAATATTTTAATTCTTGCTCTTAAATATTACTCTAATTTCCATTAAAATTATTTTGATTTTTTCGACAATAAAAAAAACGAACCCTAAATTTTATAAATTTATAAAAATTAATTTATATAATATTAATTAAATTTTATAAATATATAAACCAATAATTTATATAATATTAATTAAATAAACACAATACTAAAAATAATAAATAAATAAATAAACAAATAAACACACAAACAAACAAACAAACAAAAAACAAAGATATAAACATAAACAACAACAAGAAAGAATAATAAACATAACGACAAACATAAACACAAACACGAACACAGAGATATAAACACAAAAAAAACAAAGACAAACACAGATAAACACAGATAGACATAGATAGACAGACATACAAACACAGACACGAACACAGACAGACATAGACATAGACACAGACAAACACAGACAGACACAGATAGACACAGACAGACATAGATAGACACAGACAGACATAGATAGACACAGGCAGACATAGATAGATATAGATAAACATAATTAAACACAGACACAGATAGACGCAGATAGATAGACATAGACAGACAGAGAAACATACACCAGAGACAAAGAGACCGACAAACAAAAAGAAATAGAAAAAACACTGATAGAGAGATAGAAACAAAAAGAGACATACTTCCGGCGTGTAGCGCGTCGAATTCTGATATCGATGTGTTATAGGCTTCGTTTGCGCACGTACACGCGTCCGATTTTGAGCCCGAGAGTCGTGATGTAGATGGGCTATATGCACGTGCGAGCTCTCGGCTACGCATGCCCTAGTTGCACGTGGCCGCTGGCCGTTTGTCCCCTGCCGCCCTCGTTTAATGGGGCGAACTAGTTCCTCTCTTTGCTCTCCACGACGATTGTATTTTGGCCCGCGGTTAGGAGGTGGTTGCCTTTGCATTGGGCACCTCGTGGTTACTACTGGCCCGGTTTGGATTGGTAATTTGTATTTTTAATCCAAACCAGTAATTAGGGGTAAATTGGGACGGGTGCTAAAAAAGGTGGTGGTGGGTGTATTAAAAATAGGGCAAAGCTTGTAGAGCTCGCGCCGGCAAGACATTTCGTATATTGCCGTTCTCTAATCTAATCATAGGTTGCAAGACGCGCTGGAGGCCGGACTGGTCGCGGTAAGGTCACGTTAAAGAGTCAGTGAAAGGCGGTCGTTTAAGTAAGGTGAGAACGGTTCCGCGGACTATTAATTTATCCATATATGCAATTGTTATAAATGAAAACGAAAACGCGATCGACCAGAAAACATCTTGGATGCAAACAAAGCCGAACTAATTTTATTAAGAAAAATCACTAATCGTAACAATCGGCCGCGGCTCATAACTTCTTACATCGCTAAATTCTCGGAAGATGGGCCTTTCGGGAAATACTATCGTCGAAATATTCGGAATATTTTGAAGAAAATGGTGAATAATTATAATTCCCCAATTATTTATCCAAAATATTCGAAATATTTCGGGAAATTAGTTCTACAAAAATTAAAATCATCATGTTTTCGCATATATGCCGGAATAACCCAAACAAATTTAAATAAGCGGTCTGTAACAAAAATAAGGCGATTATATCTTCCAAAAACAATCCAAACTATTTTTTTTTTCCAAAATATCCGGATTTTTTCGGAAAAAAACAATCCGGAAAAATACACACAAATACAACAAATAAATTTCACGATTTCGTTTTATAAAATACATATATTTTATTAAATATTTCATTTATATTTAATTATATATATTTTATTCAATTTCTTCTATATAATTATTCTATTTATTAAACATTTTTTTGGTAAATTAACTTAAAATCAAACTCATAAATAATAAATCCAATATCTATATTTATATTTATCTAAAACAAATTATTTATTATAATAAAATTTATTTAAATTAGCAATATATATAAAACAATATGTAAAATATATATTTAATAAATATCAAAATAAAAAATAATTAAAGAAATACCACACCCAAATAATAAACAAAGAAAAAAATATAATAAATTTAATATATCCAATATTTCATTTAATCAATTTGTTTTACCTTCCCATATATATATATAAAATAAATTATCTATTCATTAATCAATTAATTATTTAAATCATTATCAATTAATTAAACAACCTCCCATAACATCAACACCCATTACACCACTCTCTATTTCAAAAACAATTCAAGTAATAGACATCAAAATCGATTTTACTATCAATATATGCATATGTATCACATATTTTCGTAGCGGTATCTACACAATCTTGAATTACTCTCAACTGCCAAATCTACATACAAGTATGTTTATATATATATATATACAGATATCATGATTTGGAAAACCTCATTCGGCATTGGAGTCGGGCGGCGGGTCGTCCCATGAAGCTTTTAATCCTGTGAGAACCCAACCTCAAAGGATCTGACAAGAAGTTCCAACTGGCCAACACAATCTCAGTCCTCCTGACAAAAGTGCGAGCTCGTACAGGACCTGGCAGCCAAAGGCAGGGGACGTCTCATGATGCAAATGATTGTTACACGCTTCGCACGGCGCTGCGGCACCAACTTCGGCCGACCTGCTCGATCTTGCTCATTGTGCTCTTCAAAGGGCCGATCTTCTTTGATAGACTTGAAGGCCTTAATCATGTGCAGGGCAGGTTGACAACAACTCGATGTCGCTTGGCCGCACAGCTCGTCTTCGCTTGTTGCGCTCTAGAATGATCTGCCCGAGCTGAAAGGGACTCGGCCCGCTGCACGTGGGGCAAAATGGAGACGCCGTCATAGACTACCTGACAGGAAAGAAGCGGGAAATCAGGTTTTTGTGTGGCCACAGTTTCCGCAGAAACAAGCAAGGCAGCCCAGGCATGTGCAGTTCTTGGGGCCGCACTTCCACACATGCCAGGCAGGATTTGATCGCCTCCTGGGGTCATGTGCTTCTTTTGCTTGGGCCACACCGGCGTACACTCGAAGGAGCAAGGCATCAAACTTCAAGCCACTGCGATTGACCAACAAATGCTGCGACATTCTTCCCAACGCCGTCCTTGCCACTGCGGCCCTGGCCTCGCAACACGTCTTCAGATCACATAAAAAGCCCTCTCTGCGTTTTTCAACAATACAATGATCGAGCATCGGGCCCGTGTGTTTACCCCAAGCTCCGCGCTCGCTGATCGAATAGCAAAACGACCAACTTCTCCTCAACATGGCTGCGATCGATGTGCATCACGAGTTGAGCCAAGTGGAACAACCCCAAGTAAGTGCTTTACCATGGCGCATGGCAGGTGGCTCCGTTTTTTTTCATCATGGTGAGTCTGCAAATTGCGTGAGGCGACCCTTTGGGTGCAAGATCGCCCCACTCACCCGGGGAGTAGCGGCTGCCAGCCACGAAGGATGCTTCTCAAGAGCTTGCTGTCCTGGGCTGCGGGTTGTTTTCAAGCTCTCGTTTATCAAAGGCACCGCTGAAGAGTTGCACGGAGAAAGCTGAATGGCTAACGCCCGAAACGAAAATCTGTGCAAGCGAAGCCTCGAATCTTTTCGAGCCTCTCCCTCCTGCGAAGCTTCTTCATTCGCCGCTCCAAACCTGCTCGTTAGAGGGAACACCCAAAATAGAGCCTCTGGGGGGGCACCTAAGAAATGACATGTCAAAGTCGCCTCGGCCGCTCTTCTGCTCGCCTGGGGCGTCATCCTCCTTAATCCGGCAGTCAAAATTATTTGCCAAACTTCCAGTGTGAAAGCATCTAGAAACGAGATCCTGCAAACATGCTCAGAAACAAGCAGTCACAGGCTTGAAGCATGGATGGAGTCTACCTTCACTCAACGAGATGAAGCTGAAGGCTCGCTGGAATTTGCTGGTGAATACATGGTGTTCCTGCACTTCGCTGTTCACACTCAAAACACTATGGAAAACTGTGTGATGCTCAGCTCCATCAGTCAGCGCAACCCCAAGAAGTTACAATACCTGTCGCAAACGTTCAGCTGGTTGCAGCCACAGAGCCACACCTCTGTCATCCATCTCTTCTGCCACAGTGTCAAAAAAGTCTTCGTCATCGCCGTTTGCTTCAGTTCTTTCCGAAAACATTGGAGCCCGAACCACGTCCGCTTGTTGGAGATCGCCATCCTCCGCTTCATCCGAATCTGACGGCTCGCCCGCTGCATCCTCAGCCTTCACGTCCGCACCCAACCCAGGACGTGCTGGCGGCAGGTCAGGCATCGGGGCCTCCTCCTCCGACTCCTCTCCTGCAGTTTGTCTGGCCGCCTTGGCGGCACTCGAGGCCCGCAAAAGAAGGTCCACGGCCGCAGAATGATCGGCACCTCTCTTCCCTGCCAGCTTTTTGATGACCTTCCTTGTCTTCTTGACCTTCTTAACCCCACAGTCCGTAGTCTTCATACCCTCATCGTCTTCGGCCTTTTTGACCTTCTCGGCCCCGCTGCGCTTGGGTCTCTTGTCCTGTGCAGCCACTTGGGCCTCACCACATCCTACCTCCTCACCCTCTCCAGTCGACTTACCCTCTTTCTTAGCCTTCTGTGTTTTTTTCTGCTTGGCTTTTTCCACCTTCTTCTTGGGCCCAGCGCTTCCAGATATTTCTGGGGCCGGTGACCCCTCCGCAATGAGCTTTGCCAACTTCTCCCGCAAAGCCTCGCAGCTTTTGGCTGGTCATTCGCTGAATGCGCTGGCGCCCCATGATTGTACGGCTAATCCAGCCCACAACCAGGGGATTGTCTTGTGGGCTCCCCAAAACCTCCCAGGCCATCCACGCAACCCGGGCCTTTGCAATGCTCTCGCGGCAAGAGCGCTCAGCGGCTTCCAGTGACTTCCGGCATGCCTTGACGCGATCCTCAAGAGACTTGTCCTGAGCTGCCCGACCCAGCCCCTTTGGCGTCGTGTTGTGGCGAAATAAATTGAGCTCTCACAGCAAAAGCTAGAAAGTGATAAATCATTTTCAAATGGTCCGTCCTTTTGAGCTTTCCGTTTCCATTTGACTTCTTGATCCTTTGTATTGTGGAGTATAAAAACCTATGTGCCCTGGGACGCTACAGGACGCCTGAGCCCACCTTGGACCCCCTTCTAGCAGTCCTTGATGAACCATCTGGATTGCGACATGGTGCCACTCCGCAAGCCTCTTGGCTTGAGCCGACAAACATCGGGGCACGCGCAGATCCGCAGAATCCGGGCTTCTGCCATGTCACCTCTCTCAAGCTCGTGGATCACTCTTTCCTCCAGGCCCCAGCTGGAATGAATCTAGCATGACCAGCACTAACATGCCAGCAAAGCGTTAAAGTACAGGACGAGATTTCTTCATTCCCCTTCAGCCTTCCAGTCGATGGCACCTGACCGTGTCGTGGCTCCTGTCAGATCCATGACGCCCCCCAAGTACTCCGCCAACAGCAAGTCAAACTTGAGGCTACTAATCGCCTTGGTCTCCCATGCAATGGCTCGCAACCTGCAGTTGGGGCACTAAAGATTCCCTGGCCTTTCCCAATGCAGTTGCCAACGCCGGGACTCTTCAACTTGCAAACTGAAAACCATATCTGTAAGGTTGAAGCCTGCATCTCGGTCGCGCTCAGCAGCTTCTTGTCCCGGCCTCAAAGCTGAAGCACATAAAGGTGAACTATAAACCGAGAATTCTAGCAAAAGGAGCAACGGACGTCAACGCAAAACATATTGCTGAGATTCCTGTCGTCTAATGCCCTGTCTCCCCTCCCGCTGAGACCCGCGCGGAAGGCTCGGTAGGCCAAGGCCTGCGAGAATCCCGTGGCTGGATTGGACAGCAGCACCTATGTCGCTAGAATGCATCTATGTTTATGACATAATGCTCCAGCACACGATGAAAGAAAGAGGTTGTTGCTTGGCTATGTGTTACATATTCGATGCCCATGTTCCTCATTGGGGTGCTACTGTGGAGGACAAAGTCCTATATCAGTGGGATAAAGGATGCCCCATGAAGACTGGGAAATGACACTAGCATAGGCCCCAGAAGTCGGTCAGACCCAATATCACAAAGACAAACTCGCGTACGGATGTGCACCAAAAAGTGCACATGTGCAGCAATCTGTTGACATTTGTGCCAACACATGAACATAGGTAAAACTGCACTTAAACTCCACATGCTGGACACAACTTGCGATTGGTAATGCTTTCCGATGAGTAAATAGCTGACTCCTCTCAACCTATCCGATTCGGCCCACATGCACGCCCGGGCACATGAACAGCGCACATGCGTGTGCATGCACGTACGCCCATGCCCAGGCAGTTGAGAGACGGCTTTTCTGTTACGGGCCTCAGGCCCGCTACTGGCCGAGTATGCCAAGCATTAGCCTGAGAAAGTGCTTTGTGTGCGCCTCGGCCATTTCTTCAAGCGCACCGCTGAAGAAGCCTAGTCCTCAGGCATAGGGTTTCACCCCAACTGCCTGTAGCTTCTACAGCATGTTTGTTTGCTACAGCAGGGTTACGGCCAAAGAGCATGTTCTGAGAGCTGAACTGAGTGTCGGAGATGTTGATGCGAAGTCGGCATAAATCTCGTTCGCCTGTTGACTGTGCGTTGGGACGGGAGCCGGCTTGGCCATGTCACCAACTACTCCATGCATGCAGCAAACACAGTCCTTGTCAGCACAAAGTTGTATTTGGGAGTCTGCCTGAGTCGAGAGCGCAGCTGCAAACGTCAGGCAACTATCGAGCCATCGAGCCTCATCAACAAACAGCTTCAATTAGACCTTGAAGTTGCCTTTAGAATGGCATGCATCATGCCTGCTTTGGGCTGCGAGGCAAGAAGACAATGTTGCATGGGGCACACATCATGCCACCCCGAGCTGACCTCCCCTCCTTCTCTGCTTCCATCTAGGGCAGCTGCTCTCTTCCAGTCGTCACCTGCAGTGCAATGGTCGATTCAGTTGAAATGGATACGGCCCTGGCGCACGCGGCAACAGATCTTGTCAATGGACGGCTACTCCGCCACTTTTCACGGCCATACGTCTGCACTCGCCGACATGTTCTAACTCGCCTTTGGGCTGGACATTCATAAGCCGACCTAACTTGATGGTTCTGTCGGAACCATCTACATTCAGCTGTTCTTGTAAGCTAACTTCTTGAAGGAAGCTTGGCAGATTTGGTCATGTTCAACCAACCTTAACGTGTCAAACACAATGGGAACAAACTGGATGCTCATTGCTTGAGATAATTATTGTCCATGTTGTCGACCAATTCCATAGGAATCTAGACGCTTACCAATGGCCCGCCCCCGAGGCTAAGAATGCCAGGACGCACACATACACATGTATCATCATGTATCATCATGTATCTATATCTGCATATAGCTAATAATATTCTTTTGATAGGTAGCGGCAAATGGGAGGCTCACAGCTGAGTCCTTGGCGCTGAAGTGCATAGATGGCATTCCTGCAATCAACAACTTGGATTCCAGGACAAACGTTTCTATTGACTCTACCGCGTACAAGTCCCACAGCTACTTGCCAGGTGAGCCCAAGGGTGAGGAAGTCTGGTCTCAACATACTCCATCTGCATGGACTGCTGCCAAGGAGCTTCGCGGCTTTGACCACGTCGCGACTCTGTTTCATCACCTCAGACCAGGTGCAAGCAGAAAGGAGCACTGGCCAGGCACACAACATACGAAACAGGGTAACAGCGTACAATCAGCTTACGCAATACTCTGATGTGCTTGCGATTGGCAATCCAACCATTCCAAGTCTCAGCACAAAGTTGATGATTGAACTCTTGCCGAATCGCTACTTGGAAGCTTGGTCTCCTATCACAGCTGGTTGGCGAGGCTTCACGTCTTTGGCACGGTTGCTAACGCTCCTGCCTGTTCTCGGCGCTCATCGAACGCATCGTAGTCCAGCTTTCGGACCTTTGGGAATGAATGTTCAAGTGAGTGCAGCGCAATACCTTAAGTTTAAACATGCCCTCTCTGCACATAAGCAATAAATCTAAATACGGGATGAGGATGTTCCTACGTGACAGTCTGAAAGTCGCATACACAGAATAGGACTCCTTTCATGGATCCAAGCTTCCGGCGGCCATGGCTGCCACGTCTAGTGACGGAGCATCTCCGGATGGTGCCTGCCCAAAACACTCGGCATCCGACTGGCCCAACCATCGACCACGACTTGGACTTCCCATGTTTCGTCTGAACTGTATGATTCCTTCAGGGACAAGGCCTATGGCATGTTCACAAAGCAAACCGTCGCGTTGCGGCCAACCACATGCGCGGTCTGAGCGGCTTGGATAACGAGCCTTAATTTGAACTCCTGCCTTTAGGCATGTGAGCTCATCCATGCATTGTACCGTGTAGCCCCAAATGCCTCTATGAGCGAAAGCTAGCTTGCGTACATCTTCGTGTCAGGTGCGCCTATGATTCGGACAGCGTGCGTAGAGATTGGTTGGGAAGCAGCTGTGCCGGTATGTGCGTGGCAACTTGCAGCTGGGCTGCTCGTTGTTTTTAGTATTTCGAATTGCCTGGTGCTTCGGGGCTTCAGCCCTTGAGCATGTCCTCTTTGGTTTCCTATCCTTCCACGAAGCATCTGACCAGCAACACGCCTCCAAACAAGCGGCACTTCAGTATTTCTGAATTTCATGCTGCACAAGTCGCGCACGTTGGATTTCAACAACACCTGCGTCACGCGTGTCACAGGTCACCCTGCATAATTTCATAGAGGTCAGAGTGTGCAGGGTTGGGCTTCAAACCTGATCATGTCAAATGTATGTCGCAACTAGCGGCTTTGCTACCAAACACTGCGAGGTATGCTTTGGATTGTAGCACGTGCCTCAACATACTGAATGACCGTCATTTGGCATGAGGAACAAACCCTCGCCCCCCAAAGCGCCCCTGGGCTGTGCACTTATCTGCAGTGATGTTGAGGCGGCTCAATTATCCAAAGGCTCCACGGAGCTCCCGTTAAACGCAAAGGAGCTCTGGCAAAAACCCAGCCCTTCCACTTCCGGGCCTCCAGCTGGTCTTCAGGCAGCTGCCTGTGCCAGATCTGCTGAGCAGGGGCTCAATCAGTTTGAGGACGCAACCCCCAGGGTGCGGAGCTCTATTTGAGACAGCCTTCCAAACAATCAACGGAGAACCCACTGCAGCTCCAAAAAGTGCTTGTCTTTTTTATCGGCCGTTGGATGAATCATTTGCATTTAGATTTCACTGGTCACACGACCCCTTGTGTCATGCAACGTGAAGACTAAGCCTTGCCTTTGATGCACCAAGTTTCTTGATCATGCAACGTGAAGACTAAGCCTTGCCTTTGATGCACCAAGTTTCTTGATCATGCCAAAACTGAAAGGGCAAACAGTTGAACAAGTAAGCTAAGTCTGGCAATCGCTTTAGCCCAACAACCTTTGTTTCCAGTCGTATCTTGCTTGATGCACCTTGTACGTCGAAGCTAACACGCGGTGGAGTTGCCACCAAATGCGTAGCTGAACAACAATAATGTCCCGCAAGGCATCCATCCTTAATCACTTGCTGGCGCGAATCCTTCATGTGGGAAAGTCGCCTTCGGGAACCTTGAGCTGGCTTTGGGAATGGAGTGCTTGGATTGGTGGCTTTGTCTTAAAGATAATCTGCCCAGCCTTTCATCTGCCAGCGCCCTTTGCCTGGGCACGCCACCCGTGGAGGTCATGTTCGTTCCCACGACTGATGACGTTCTGGACCATGTGCTTGCTGTGTATCGCTGTGCTCTTGAAACGTTGCTCCCTGACAGTAGCCCCCCAGCAAACCCAAGCCAGTCAAGCAAGTCACTTTATGGAGGCATGCATGCGCGTGTCGGAGCCTGGCCAAGTTGATCTCATACTCCAGCGATTCCAACCTTAGTTGGGCGCAGCCGCCATTGGGGCCACCGTGAGGGGCTGAGCATACTAGGGACGCCTCTGGCACGCCACACCAGGGCAAAAGCGGACGCTTGACGCTACTGCGTGAGGAAGCTTGACAGTTCGCCACTGGCTCGATATGACGCGTGATGCCATCTGATTCCGTGGACACTTGGTCTTGCATGAGCACGCAAGACGCTGCCGACGCATGATGACAGCCACACCTTCATGCGACCTCATGCATCTGTGCGCCTTCACCCGTCATTGTGTCCTCGTGCATCTTGCCCTTTAAATATTTCGATTTCTGCAATTTGTTCCCCATTCGATGAATTTGCAGGTGCCAGTTGAACCATCACAGTTTGTCTCGGCGTGGTTCTTGATGCGTCCAACAAACATCAGCCAAAGGGTGGCATTCTGCTGACAAGCGCCTGCCAAGCAACAACCGTTTTTTGGATTCTATGAGGGCAACAACCAAGCCAAGCCATCATCCGCCAAGCAACATCCGCCCCCGCCCGTTGTTTCCGTTGGCAATTATCGCACTGCACGGAAGGACATTTTGAGAATGAAGTTGATGTGGCCAGAAAACAACGCGTGTGCCTCCTTGCCCATTGAGATCTAGGGGTCAAGCAGGGCAAACCGGGCTTTCATGCTTGGACTCGAAACAGCACGAACTGTTAGTCTAGTGCTTGAATCCGCATATTTGTCAGCGCACAGACTCCTGGCTTGCTGCAAAGGATCCCTTCCCATGTCTCGAGGAAACCCTGTGCTCCAACGAGAAAACGTAGGATTCAATCCAATCTCGCAAGCCAAGCCCGTGATGATTCCGTTATCCCCTGATTGGTGGCCCCCTCAACTCAACTAGCCTTGAGTCAGACTTAAGCCACATCGAAATTAACCAACCCTAAACTCACCCTAGTGCGGACTTTGCTGTGTGTTGGAGGGTTTGCTTCAAACAGGTGCTTGCTTTGCAAACTGTCGCGAAAACAAGTCGCTCCGAAAAAAACAAAATCTCGCTGACGCCAGGAAAACCATAGGCGGGTTTGGGGCAGGGTTCGAGCGTTCAGGCTTGCTTGGGTTGGTGGGCTTAGTTAGGGTCTGGTTAAGGTTGGCTTACGATTGGCTTAGGGTTGGGTTAAGGTGGGTTTAGGGTTGGTGTAAAATTTATATAATTCGAATTAAACATTTGTTTTACAATTAACGTAGTATAGAAGTAGTTTATAACTAATCTAAAGTTTGTTCAGAGTGAGCTTTCCGTGGTTCTACGGTGGGTTTAGGGCGAGGTTCAGGATTGGTGGGTTTAGGGTTGGTCTAGGATTTGCTTGGGATTGGTTTAGGCTTTGTGTCGGGTTGGTGTACTTGTGGATTTAGGGGTGTATGTTTGGACCAACCGACTCACTGACGGCCTGACCAAACGACGGACGAATGACTGACGGCCCAAGCGGCCGACTGAATCAACCCCCCCGCCATCACGTAAAAGAAACGCTCTGCCAAACCTACGGGAAGAACAACGGAGTTCCAAGCGCGTCAAGGTCCATCAAAAGCAGTCTTTGGAGGGCAATACACAAGTGAACGGACATTGTGCATCTATATTTCCACCACTGAAGAGGGCCATCTTAGAGATCTGTCATGACAGTCCTTGGATCTATGAATG